ATATATCCCCCTACCCCCACAAATCATATTTCTGTTTTCTAACGTTGTTAATTTCTTCTCTCACAAGACTGCATCCACTGTTGCGGTTCAACTGAAGCTGTGATCCGATTGGCTCTCTCTGCTCTGGTGGGCGTGGCTACTGTTGCTGTGCTGGTTTATGAATTCAGATCCAGTCTTCAACAAAAGAGAAAACAGCGGACACTGCTATCAAACTCTGATTAATCAGATAGTCAGGGAGGTGGAGATACGCTTTTCACAGTACTTTTCACAGTACAAATGGTTCTAAAGCAGCTTTACAAAAAATAGTGCCTTAAACCCACTGTGATTAATTTGAAAATCAATAAATATAATGATTTTTTTGTGCTCTTTTGCTTCTTTTCACACTTAAAACTAAAATAAAACCCCACAGACCAACTAAACTACCAGCTGTATCAATAAACCAATGTAAAATGTGTTTGTACAGATATAAGCAAATAATCAGTTGAGACCGGATGAGAGAGAAGACCTGCAAGTGAACTTTAGCGTAAACACGCTGTGGTTTAATGTGCTGCTGATAAAATAATTACTTGTAAGCAGTTCTGCAGGAAGCTGAAGATCTCAGGAGCCAAAGGTGACAAATATGATGCAATTTTTTTCTGCTTTTTAATATGTAAAAGTGTGTGGGAGAGATGAAGTGTGAAAACCAGAGCAGAAACTGACCACAGCATTGGAAAAGGTTGTTTTTAATACTGAAAAATGACATTTACATCTGTTTTATATCTGATCATCCCCAGTTAACAACATATATTCTACGAACATTTTGCTAACAGTTTGCTAATTATCAAATGAATGTTTCCTGAATGGCCAGTTTTGCAAATGTTTTTAAAAACGTTTTTCTTGGTTATGCACACATAAAGTATAATTTTACTTTTATACTTTTGCAAACATTTTATGGGAGTGTTATTTTGTTGCCTGAACATTCTGAAACAAGTGGTAACATTAGACAAAGTTTCTTCAAACATTGTATGAAAAAAAATAATTGTGCAAATGTTTTAGGAACGTTATTCAAGACCAGAATACTTTGAACGGATGTTCTGTTAACATTCTCTCATTCTGAGAACATTCCCTGCTAACTGCATCACTATATGAAAACCTCTGTAGTATCTGTAGTGTGTATGATCATGAATCATCAACTGATTGTATGCAGCAGCTCAGGTTCCTCACTGAACTCTGTTTACATGACTTTAATGTCTATCATACTGATGATGACTGTTACATTTTTGTTTCTGAAGATCTATTCATGAAGTAGTAACATTTTGCATAATACTAGAATAACCAATTTACTTTTCAAAATTCACAGTACTTTCAGTGGCTTAGTGTGTGTTTTATTTTCTCTATTTCATAGTACTGGCTTGAGGTTATAATGGAGTCAGATTAGAATTTAATTTAAATTAAATAACTTGGTGCACCGAAAAGATTAAACATGCAGGAAACCTTCATCCACCATCGGATACCTTCGCTGCATGGGACCTTACACCTGTGTAAATAAAAAAGAAACAAAAAAGCAGTTAAAACATACCAGATGTTAAAGTAGATCACTGAGTCATCTGTGAACAGAGATGTTTAGATGAGCCCCCTCACACACACACACACCTGAGTCAAAACGAAATGTAAAACATACGTGCTTTATTAGCTTCTATTTATTATATTTAAGTTTGTTTTATTTGATCTATTTATGTATTTATGTAGGCTATCTTTACTTTTGTTAATACACTAAATCACAACATGTTGATTGTTCTTACTCTGTTAATTTGTACTTTTCATTGTACTTTATCAGTATGTTGTACATTGTCAAATGTTATTTACAAAATGTAAAAAAAAAATATATATAAATAAAAGTGAACCGGTGCTCAAATGAACGACTCCTTCAAGAATTGATCATCACTACAGGGAAGTGGGTCTTTAGGTCCAGAGATGAGGAGATCGCAGGATGTCTTTGTCCATATAAGGGGTTTCCTGAACGTCATTAATTTTTACTTCTATGAGTCCGGGGAGAGCGCGCCCTCTAGCGTCCAGTATGAATGAAACCGACATTATAAGAGCGTTTGCTCATCTACCTCGTGGACGGACGCGCTGCGCAGAGTTGTACCGAGGTGAGCGTTTTGTTCTTAAAAAGTGTATTTTTTTCTGAAAATGACTGATCGTTTCGCTAGAGAAGAGCCTTATTCGTCCTCTGGGTCGTGTGGAGTCCATTGGAAGCGGCTTAAATTTGGGTTTCGGAGCGTTTATTTGCATTCGACGGGGGAAAAAATCTCGGATTGTTTCCCTCCAAAACAACTTCTCTTCGGCTGAAGCAAGAAAGTCATATACCTCTCGGATGGCATTTGGGTGAGTAATAATCAGGAACATCTGACTTAAGGGCAAACTTTTCCTTCCTTGTGTGGTAAAGAAGGTGGAGATTGACTTTTTTTGTTCTGCGCAAACTCTTCTCTTGCTTTCTCATACGCCTTGCAATGCACGTTTAAACGGTCTCTTCTTGGCCACAGTACAAACAGTCCTGTTTTAGCTTTCCCTATTCTTAATGACTGATTTAAACAAAGTTGAGTGGCCAGTTTGGTTCTTTATATTATCTTCTTACCTGTTGTTAATTATTATTATTATACTTATTTCTTTTTGGATACTATCTCCCAGTTTCTTTGTTCCATATTTCTTGCCAAAACTCGTTATTTTCCTTCTTTATTTTCCCACGTTATCCCAGTTTTTTTTCTTATTTTACTGCAGTCTGTATGACTTGTATATGTTTTCATGTTTGATGTTTTGACTCCTTTCGCATTATCTGCATGATCTTCCTCTATCTTTATTTATTTGCTGAAATTTGATCTATCTTTACCTGGTTTCACATTTGACAATAACAGCATGCTTCCATGAAGCTGGGAGTATTCCTGTACTTCATACTTATGCAGATACAGTATAGCATTCTAACACATCAAATAGGCTTTTAATCATAGTACTGTATAGCGTATCTTGTTTGGTTGGCTCCTCCTAATGCCGTATATCTGTTATCCCTCATACTTTTTTCTTATGCACTTTTATGCTTTCTCAGTGTTTGTCACTGCTGTTCTTTCTCCATTGCTAAGTTTTTCTTATATTTTTTTGCATTTCCCTAATCGTATCCCATACTAATGTTTCTTCCGCAATTGATTTACAAATTCTGCAGTTATTTTTGCATGTTTATTTATTAAACATGTTTATTTGCATTATGCTACTACTTTTATATCTGCTTTTTAAATATAAAATACACTTTTAGAATGAATGTGTTCTCCTACATTTCCTTATTCCTAGTATTAATTGCTTGACTACACGTTTGTCCACCATGGCTACTTTCTTTCTTTTTTGATCCAATTCTTTTGAGTAACTTCTCAATTTCTTAAAAGTTTTTATTCCTGCAGCTTTATATTACTTGCATACATTTTCTTCTGTGCATCTTTTCACCTGCTTTCTGTTAAATTATACATATTTTATGTATCATTGAATGGTGATCACTACCTATTGCATCTTTAACATTTCCTTTACCATTTTCCTATTATTATAAATATTATTCCTTACCCATATTGTTTTCAGACTACTCTTTCTCATTACCGTTTCTAAAGTCTTGAAATCCACTGTAAGATTTTGTCTGTGCTTAAAAGTGCCTGATACTTTAGTTTCTTATTTCTTCTATTGCATCATCTTTGACACTGGTATTTTCCAGTGTTTTAATATATATCTTGTATCATTTCTTTTCTGCTGTCAGTCTGTACAGAGCAATTGACTACTTCTGATGTGAAAGGTATGATCTCCACTTTCCCTAAATTCCAAATTATATTTTGTTCTACTTTGTGTTGCTGTATTTTGTCTCGTTCTTACTCTTTCTGCAGATTGTTTATTTAACCTTTTTGTTTTCCCAAGCTTAAGACAATCCCTCTGATATTTTTTTGTGTTTTGTGCTTTTATGGCCTCCTTACATGCTAAATATCCTCCAGATCCAGCGTTTCACTGACCTCCACAATTACACCATTTTTGGGCTCTTTCTGTTCACATTTCTAATACTCGTGGCTTCAAACACACATCCACAGTACAGTTTGCCTCCACACACTGCAGTAGCTATATTTCAACATCTAGCACATAAGGTCTTACTGTGTAGCTGACAAACCCAGTGTACACTTTATCAGGCATTCAATCTTTTATCAGGCATTCAATCTTCATTAAATTGTAGCATCACTGACAGGTTATCCATTTTCTCTCCTGCTGTCACTTTTGCTCCCTGAATGCAGGCTTATTTATTTATTTATTTTAGCAACGACTCTGCTTATCCATGGTTTTAGGTATTGTGCTTGTAACTGAACTTAAGCCCCGTGCTTCTTCTGTTGTCTCCCATTCATACACCCAATCACCAGACTGCATCCCTTAAAGTTTGTATTTAATTACAGTAGTCAACATTTGAAGTGGATCAAAAAAATTCATCAAAGTTTTGACTCCTTTCGCATTATCTGCATGATCTTCCTCTATCTTTATTTATTTGCTGAAATTTGATCTATCTTTACCTGGTTTCACATTTGACAATAACAGCATGCTTCCATGAAGCTGGGAGTATTCCTGTACTTCATACTTATGCAGATACAGTATAGCATTCTAACACATCAAATAGGCTTTTAATCATAGTACTGTATAGCGTATCTTGTTTGGTTGGCTCCTCCTAATGCCGTATATCTGTTATCCCTCATACTTTTTTCTTATGCACTTTTATGCTTTCTCAGTGTTTGTCACTGCTGTTCTTTCTCCATTGCTAAGTTTTTCTTATATTTTTTTGCATTTCCCTAATCGTATCCCATACTAATGTTTCTTCCGCAATTGATTTACAAATTCTGCAGTTATTTTTGCATGTTTATTTATTAAACATGTTTATTTGCATTATGCTACTACTTTTATATCTGCTTTTTAAATATAAAATACACTTTTAGAATGAATGTGTTCTCCTACATTTCCTTATTCCTAGTATTAATTGCTTGACTACACGTTTGTCCACCATGGCTACTTTCTTTCTTTTTTGATCCAATTCTTTTGAGTAACTTCTCAATTTCTTAAAAGTTTTTATTCCTGCAGCTTTATATTACTTGCATACATTTTCTTCTGTGCATCTTTTCACCTGCTTTCTGTTAAATTATACATATTTTATGTATCATTGAATGGTGATCACTACCTATTGCATCTTTAACATTTCCTTTACCATTTTCCTATTATTATAAATATTATTCCTTACCCATATTGTTTTCAGACTACTCTTTCTCATTACCGTTTCTAAAGTCTTGAAATCCACTGTAAGATTTTGTCTGTGCTTAAAAGTGCCTGATACTTTAGTTTCTTATTTCTTCTATTGCATCATCTTTGACACTGGTATTTTCCAGTGTTTTAATATATATCTTGTATCATTTCTTTTCTGCTGTCAGTCTGTACAGAGCAATTGACTACTTCTGATGTGAAAGGTATGATCTCCACTTTCCCTAAATTCCACATTATATTTTGTTCTACTTTGTGTTGCTGTATTTTGTCTCGTTCTTACTCTTTCTGCAGATTGTTTATTTAACCTTTTTGTTTTCCCAAGCTTAAGACAATCCCTCTGATATTTTTTTGTGTTTTGTGCTTTTATGGCCTCCTTACATGCTAAATATCCTCCAGATCCAGCGTTTCACTGACCTCCACAATTACACCATTTTTGGGCTCTTTCTGTTCACATTTCTAATACTCGTGGCTTCAAACACACATCCACAGTACAGTTTGCCTCCACACACTGCAGTAGCTATATTTCAACATCTAGCACATAAGGTCTTACTGTGTAGCTGACAAACCCAGTGTACACTTTATCAGGCATTCAATCTTTTATCAGGCATTCAATCTTCATTAAATTGTAGCATCACTGACAGGTTATCCATTTTCTCTCCTGCTGTCACTTTTGCTCCCTGAATGCAGGCTTATTTATTTATTTATTTTAGCAACGACTCTGCTTATCCATGGTTTTAGGTATTGTGCTTGTAACCGAACATAAGCCCCGTGCTTCTTCTGTTGTCTCCCATTCATACACCCAATCACCAGACTGCATCCCTTAAAGTTTGTATTTAATTACAGTAGTCAACATTTGAAGTGGATCAAAAAAATTCATCAAAGTTGTCCTAAGACAAGAATGCATTTTGGTTTTAGGACATCTTTGATGAAAGGTTTTGATCCACTTCAAATTTTGACTAGTGTATTTCTCACAGAGCTTTCGTTCATAGCTTTGAGTTTGATGGGATTCATTACTTAAGGGCATTTCAAAAATACCTTGAATTCGTCTTCAGCTTTCATGACAGACTCACTGTCTTTATCTTTATCACTGTGCTTTCCAAGTTCATGAGGACTGGTTTACTTTAACTATTACCTACCTGACATACATATATACACATACACGTATTGCGTTTCTATAATTAGATATTCAAGTAAGTTGAAACCCAACCTCAGCTAGGTCGGCTTTCCTCTCTCTGTCTCCCTGTAATTCATTTTGTTTTAAATTTTATTTTTGTTATTTTATTCATTATGTTCAGTTTATCTCCTTGTATTATCATTTGTTTCCCCCCCTTCTTATTTTCTCTTACATTACCCACTCCCTTATTTAAATAATTTGGCCTGACTTGCCCGACACTGGCTGTGTGTGGTCCCTAAAGCCTCTGTCCTCGTATCATTGGTGACGACACGCAGCGCGTCATCAGCAATTGGACACCGGGTGAGGACTCAACCATGCCGGCTGACACAGAAGGCCACTTTGGTCAAGTACTCTGTTTGGGGTTCCGTGTGCGACGGAACCAACCATTTGGAGCTGTGGGGCCTCGAGCCAGCGGTCTCCAATGACCCGGGGAAATCCAAGGATGGCCGTGACAGCTGGAAGTTGAACCACCCTCAGCTGAGAGCTGCCCAGTTGTGCTAAAGCTCATCGCTGTTTGAGTGGTTGGCACCATGGGGATACAAAGGGGACAAGGTGCCCGGGGACGCTGCAGCCGTGTGCTTGGAAGAGTCAGGGAAATTGATGTCGCCTCTGGTTCTCACTTGCTTGAGCTCCATTCACCATTAGGCCTATTAAGTGAAACACTGCCCCGTTTACTTATTATAAGCCCCACAGACGTTTCCCTGGTCTATTAAATATTCGGCCCATCTATGCTCTCCTAGCCATACCATACCTCTGTTGCTCTCTCTGTTTTTTAATTTGTTGATTGGTTTTTCGTGCAAGATTGCAGGTTTAATTGTAGTGTTGGGTATGGTAAAGTAGTTCTAGGCGCTGTATAGACAGCAGCTACAGCTGCAGGAGAGGCTGCGGTTGTGGTGGCTGCTGCTTCTGGAGAGGCCGCCACTGTTACGGCTGTGCTGTGGAAAGGTCGCCGCGGTTGTGCTGCTGCTGAGGAACGGCCGCCGTAGCTACTGCTGCTGAGGAGAAGCCGCCACGGTCGCGGCTGGTGCTGAGGAGAGGCCACCACTGGAGCGGCCGCCGTTGTTGCAGCTGCTACTGCTGGAGTGGCTGCCTTTGTTGCGGCTACTGCTGCTGGAGAGGCCACCGTTGTTGCGGCTGATACCGCTGGAGAGATCACCATTGTTGCAGCTACTACCGTTGGAGAGGCCACCATTGTTGTAGCTGCTGCAACCGCGGCTTCTCCTGCAGCTGCTGCGGTTTTTGAAGCTGCTGTTGTTACCATGCCTATACTGTTTGTACTGTTAGCAATACAATCCCCAGCACTACAACGGCACATGCAATCTTTCCCATTTTGCGAGTATTCTGGCTCTGTGGAAAATCATGTAAGTGAGGCAGGGCTGTTTAGATTTTAAAAAGTGATGAATTGTCCATTAATAATCAATAGGTGTAATAAATTAAAAAAATGAAGAATTTTTATCCAGTTGAAAGCGAAGGCTTTTGTAAATGTGGAAGTGCAAAACGTTGATCAGAGCTTAAATTCAGTGTTTACTTTGTCTTTAATGTAAGTGCTCACACATTGTCTTTTTTTAGACGTTTTTAGTTGAATATGGTCAAAGTTTTTAATCATATTAGATTAGTTAAATTAAGTGTGTAGTTTTGAGTACATTGAAAGAGAGGTTAATGTGCAATTGTCTTCCAGTGCTTCCCACAAGTTTGAAATATAGTTGTGGTGGTAGAGAGGTGGACAATCAGGTTATTTTCAGGTTATTTTGAAGTGGCGTCCCTGAAATGTTCTGGGAGCCTAATTTTATGAAAATATGGAAGAAAATGTAATAATTCCTTAAAAAATTGTTAAAGTTATTTTAATATTAGTTGTAGTAGTTGTACATTAAGAAATGCATTTTAACTACACGACTGCATTGTATTTTTGATCCATCGACACCGGCTGTGTGTGGTCTCTTACACCTCTGTCCTCGTATCATTGGTGACGACACGCAGCATGTCATCAGCAATTGGGCACTCCGGCTGTGGACTCAACCATGCCGGCTGACACAGAAGGTCACTTTGGTCAAGTACTCTGTTTGGGGTTTCGCCACTGAGTGACCTCCATTCACCTTCAGGCCTATTAAATGAAAGCCATTCACTTATTATAAGCCCCACAAAGGGTTAGACATCCCCTGGTCTTTTAAGTATTCGGCCCATCTTTATTCTTCTATCCATACCATCTTCCTAGGCGGTACGACCCAACAGCGCCCCCTACTCTGTAGGCCCTGTTATATCTATAGGCCTGCTCTCTCCTCTGTGTGTTTTGATTTGTTGGTTAGTTTTTTTGTTTTATTCTATTTCGTTTAGTGATCCATCATAGAATTGTTTTCCCTCCCACCCCTAGTTGCTAATACAACTCATTGTGTTTATTCTTAGACATTTACATTTATTGAACATAACATAGACGTTTTTCTTATTTTTAAAGTATTTGAAAAATATCTATTAAATGTTTTCCTCCATATTTGGTGGTAAAACAAATATCCTGTCTGAACATCACTTTTGGCTGCTACTCTACATCAGTGACATAATGTCTAATTTCCTTAAAATACGTGCATTTAAGTGTGGCCACTTATATATAACTGAATATTTTAATGAATGAATGAATTGCAAAATCTGAATATTCGATCAAAGCCTACTGATTAATTGGTTATATAATTGATGATTGGTCGATTAATCCATCTAGATGATCAACTATCAAACTATTGACTATCAAAGTAACTCTTTGTTCATTAAAGTATTTGAAAAATATCTATTAAATGTTTTCCTCCATATTTGGTGGTAAAACAAATATCCTGTCTGAACATCACTTTTGGCTGCTACTCTACATCAGTGACATAATGTCTAATTTCCTTAAAATACGTGCATTTAAGTGTGGCCACTTATATATAACTGAATATTTTAATGAATGAATTAATTGCAAAATCTGAATATTCGATCAAAGCCTACTGAGTAATTGGTTATATAATTGATGATTGGTCGATTAATCCATCTAGATGATCAACTATCAAACTATTGACTATCAAAATAACTCTTTGTTCAGCAGTTCTTCAATTGATTTAATATGTTAGATATTATTCTTGTTCATTTGCGTTTGTCTTAATCAACGCATCCCTCACTACTGGCAACTTTCCTACCACTTTTAAGCAGACTCCTAACTCCATTGCTCAAAAGCCAATACTCAGTCCTCCAGCAGATCCACCATCCTTCATTCGTCCTTTTCTGTATTTTCAGCCTGATGATCTCACTTTTTCAGCTTATTTTTCTGCTTGCCTTTCAGACATCTCTGCCTGGATGGAGCATCATGAAGTCGGAGCTGCTTGTAATCCCTGGAGACCTGTCAGTTGACCAGACATTACTGTGTAACAGGGGTCCACAACACTAACAGCAACCAGGACAGCAAGGAGCCTGGGGATTGGGGTTTGACCAACTGAGCTTTACCATCCACAGTTAAACTACGGTCTAGTCATGTAGGTTTGTGCTTGACAAACAGAAGGAGGGTCAGAGCATTGGCAGTGAATTTTAGGTTGTGATGTTGGCTTTTAGGGATGCCACTGAAATGTAGTTATATGTATGAACACACTTTTATATTTCAGACACTGTTAATTTTAGAAGTCAGTTAGTTCTCAACACATGGAGACTCTTTTATCTTGATATCATACTATAGAGATTGTCTGTTCCCCGAACTAATACAAAAAAATGACCAGACCAATTTAAGGGTAAAAATGTAATTGATCAACAAATAAAAATAATGGATATAATACAGATAAACAAATGAAAAAGCTTAGCTTAATGAATATTAGATCCATACAAAAACGCTTTTTGTAAATGTGATCACTAATCAGAACCTGGATGTGCTCCATTTGACAAACCTGGCTAAAACCAGATGATTACTTTAAATGGGTCTACCTCCAAGATTACTGCTATAAACGTGAGCCACGTCCAAAAGGTAAAGGGGGGAGGTGTTGCTACAATTTATAGTAATTATTTTCAGTATTTCTCAGAGGTCTGTTTTCAGGTATAATTCATTTGAAGTTATGGTGTGTCCTATTATCTAGAGTAATTTGTGTTAATGATAAATCCACTGTGATGGTTGTACTGGCTACTGTATTCAGAGCACAAAGATTTTATCAAAGAATTTGCTGACTTTCTATCTGATTTAGTGCTAGCTGCAGATAAAGTCCTAATTGTTGGTGATTGTAATATCCATATGGATAATGGAAAAGATGCATCAGTATCAACATTTAGACATTCTCAACTATACTGGAGTTAGACAACACATCAGGACCATTTAAATCATATTTCAGATTTAATATGGTCACATTGGTTTGATGTTAATGGCATTGGTAAAAACTTGAGGTGTTTCGCATTGAATGGAGGGAAAGTACTTCCTCCTGCAGAAAAGCTTTAAAAACTGCTGATTACTCTGTTTTCTTCTAAAAGAAACGAAAAGTAATCAAACGCAACCCCAGGTATTTATTGGCTAAATTAACAAAAAAATAAAACCTCAACAGGTGTTGACATTTCCCAACAACACCGCAGTAATGACATTATGAACAACTTTACTTCCAAGATCGATAATATTAGAGATAAAATTATAACCATGCAGCCGTCAGCTACTGTAGCATGCTATAGATCCCCCGAGGAAAAGTTCTGATTTAGGAGAGGAAGAATTGTTTAAACTTCAATAAATAATCTAAACCAACAGCATGTATGTTAGGCCCTAAGCTACTAAAAGAGGTGCTCATGTGTTAATCTGTGGGTGTTTCCATTAAAGACGCAATCACTGCATTTACATGGACATCAGTAATCTAATTATTTACCTTATTCTGAATAAGACAATATTATGATTAAGTTGCTTTTAGAATATTCTTTTCATTTCCCCGTTTTTACATGTTGTAGTACATCGATCGATTAATGCCACACATCATAACGTCGCCACGCCATCCGATGTCCCCTCCAGAATTTAACTGAATTTGCTGAAGCAATGCCGTTTTGTTTGCCGTCAAATTGTTGACAAATTGTTTTATTGTAATAGTGTGATTTTAAGGTGTGTACATGACTGTACTGCACTTCGATAATGCGACTAAAATAGGAATACTCCATGTCTTAATTTGTTTTGTTTTTACTTAGAGTATGACTTTGGCCAGATTAAGGGAATCAAAAATCGGTTTACATGGTAGATTCTTAATCAGAGCATGTTAAAACCGGAATATTGTTGTTTATGTAAACGTACTGACTGTTAAACAGTTCCAAGAAGATGCTAACCACTAGAGTGAAGAAAAAAGCATTAGGTTTGTTAAGAAAAAGATTAGTCACGTCAGTTCTTCAGTTTAGATTCCCCTTTGCTCTTAGTTTCTCTATCATTGCGCTTGTTTTGGCACATTATTGAAATCAGGCCCGGAGTGAGAATCGGTTGAATCTGGAAAATTCCCAGTTCACTGCTCATTTGATCTGATCATCCATCATTAGAAGCTCTTGTCAAAACTTCTGTCAGTATATTAAGTAATCTGTGTGTTTAATCAGGAAATGCACAGACTTCATTTAGCTCAATTTCCCCACATGGACTCTATGAATTTCTAATGAAGTCTAAATAAATGTCTTTAATATTTAACATTGCGATGTTAACAGGGTTTGAAATTCACTTTCTTTCCAGAGATGGATTCTTAAACTTAGTTAAACCACAAAAAAGTTACAAAGCTTAGTTTGTAAATATTTTATTATATTTTACCAGTCACTGATATTTTCTTGTATGCTTTCAGGATGTTGTACAGCAAGTCATGACTCTCCTAATGCAGATGTTACTGCTGTAGCTCCCCCTTGTGAATGAAATGAATATGGCAACATAAGCTGTTGATATCAGCTCTTTCCTAGTGATTGAACTGATAGGCTGGCCATGAAAGCACTGTTAAAATCACTGATTATTACAGTTAATAAGACGGAAGAAGATAGATCAGGAAGCAGGAGACAAAGTGATAACATGAGCAGAGTTTATTGAATAATTTTAGTATGTAAATGCTCAGTTTAAAGGGGTCATATGTTGCTAAAAAGAACATTATTTTGTGTATTTGGTGTAATAAAATGTTTATGCGGTTCAAAAAACACATTATTTTCCACATACTGTACATTATTGTTTCTCCTCTATGCCCCGCCTTTCTGAAACG